TTACAGTTATGAAGTAGCAATGAAAATAATTTATGGTTGGGGGTCACCACAACATGAGGAACTGTATTAAAGGGTCGCAGCATCTGGAAGGTTGAGAACATCTGCTCTAGGTCCTCTGTTTCTGTCTACAGAAGGCCCAGGCCAGTAACAGTTTGCAAAATCAAACAACAAAAAAGAATTAACCATGCAACAAAATGACTTGGTCGGGGCAGACAGTGGCCCTCACAGATGTTACAGGCATTTCCTGAGTCCCTGTGATGTGCTGGGTACAGGAATTGAAGGTAAGAGGGTGGAGCCTGGTAGAAACCACACTCTAGGACCCGCCTTCCACTGGGGAAGAACCCCAGAAGAAAAGGCAGCCATGCCTCCGTGATTCTGTGGCTGATAAAAAGGGGAAACACCTGCAGGTGCACATTTGCTAGGTGGAGGAGGGGCCGTAGGTAAACATTCCAAGAGCACCTTTAAGGGGGACCCACAGCATGATGGGGTGAGGAGAGCATTTCAGGGGGCCTTACCCTCATTACAGAAGCAGCGGGTTCTAATTGACAGGCAGATGAATCACTCTGGAGCTGACTATGAGGTGGGAGGCCATAACTGGAGAGGGAAAGGGGGGCAGAGGTGGAATCCACTCTGTCTCCAGTTAATGATGAATTCCAGGAAGGCACCCTCAGGTGTTAAATCCTCCAGCAGCAATTATTGCTCACTCTGCAGGCCTCCGCTGAGTGCTTATTGATGAGCAGTCTTTCCCAATCGGAGAGATCTCCCATGCTTCCTCACCCTACGAGACACCATCAGAAGTGAGGGCAGGTAGATCTGTCACATGCACCTGCCGAGGAGGCTTGCTCTCAAACCAGAGCCAGGTGTGTCCTCCCGTCTGAGCCCTGGAGTGAGTCATTTCGACTTGATGCCTTTCTTTTCTCTGGGTTTGCTTGGGAGAGCTTAGCTGAAGCCAGGGGGCACACACCAAAAGGGTGCGCACTGACCTTAAGCCAGCCGGGCGGCCAGGGTCAGGTGCAGCTGGCCATGTATTAGCTGTTTCCTCCTACCCAAGATGGGGCAGAGCAGAGTCACTTTTGAAGCAATTATGCCCATGGCAGGGGAAAAAGAAGAAGAGAGGCCCTTAGTAAAAGCCATTTGTTCTTCTCAGCGTGACAGGCTTCCGCCATGCCGCCTTTCAAACCAGCTGTTCTAATTTACCTTTGGAAAAATGAACCGAAACCCCAGGATACCTGAGATGTTGTGGTTACATTTTGGTGGTTCTAAATATTTATATTCTGTCAAAATGAAGTAAGATATTGAAAGAAAAGCTTCAAGATAGCTGTGATAACAAACAAACAAACAAGCTTTCTTTTCCTGACACCCTCATCTTGAGGCTGCTCTTGTGGTAGCTGGCACACTTTGCATATATCTCATTAAACCACTTCACGCCCCCACCCCTAGGGGAAGAAGCCTGCAGCAGCCTGTAGCCAGTGTTCTTTGCACACAGTAGGGGGTGTTCCTGTTGCTTAAAGGAAGCTTGGAGGACCCAGCTGTGCTACATCTGGTCTGTGAGGCTGCATCCTCACAGGTAGCTCAAGATACATCCTGAACAACTTCCCTGCATTGCAGTGCACACTAGGCCTTCTCAGGGCCAGAGGCAGGTCCCTGGCTAGCTGGTGGAGCCCCCTCTTCAGCGTCCACCAAGCCCTATGGCAGGCCACACTGCTTGGAGCTGAGATCCACAGATGAAAAGGCTGCTCCTGTTCACATAGGGCATACTATCCATGGAGCAGGAAGCACAGGGAGCCTTTTTTTTTTTCTTCAGTAATGTGGCTTGTGACTTAAAGATACATCCCAGACCAGCTGCCCAAGCTCCAGGCAGAAAAGCCATCTTAGCTTTCTGCCCTCTCAGCAACCGAGCAGCTGTACCCCAGCTCTGTCTCAGCCCTGTGGATTAGCTCACCCCATCCCACCACCACCCCTTGCTGATTCCTACTGGAAAGGCTGTGAGGCTAAATGCATACCTGTCCAGCCTCCCTCGTGGCTAGAGCGGCTGTTCTAGACCTAGAGACCTAGTTCTGACCAAGGACACAGAAGCAAACATCTATGAGGAAATTAAAAGAAAAAAACAAAGCCTGTGTTCTGAATAAGAGGGACAGCCATTCTAATCCTGGCTCCTGTAGGTTACATCAACCCCAGGCCACATCAGTAGCTGCAGCAGCAAGCTTGTGACCTTGAGGGAGAAGCCCAGAGAACTTTAGGTCCTCATTGAGCCCTTGAGGCAGCGCCATCACCCAGATATGTGCTTTCTTCTAGGCCTTCTGTCCGGAGAGAAACAAACAGCCCTCCATTTGTTTCAGCCTCCAAGGTTAGGAGTCAGATGCACCTCCGGCTCTCTAGGAGACTCTCACTGAACAGAGAGGAGAGTCCTGGGTGCTGAACATTAACAGGTGTCCTGGGGGCTGTTCTGATGGGGGAACTGAAATAGCTTCAATCTGGAAACTTGAAACTTTAAAGAAGGTGTCATGGGGATCTTACAAAGAACCCAGGGATGCCAAGTTCACTGTTGCTAAGATTTTAAAAAGTAGCAGGTAAGCTGTGCTTGGATACAGGCCTGGAAATGTGGACAGGAGGGCCCAGGTTACACACAGGCCTCAGGTCCCAGGAACCCTTTCTGTTCCCTGTGGACTGCATTAAGTGTGGTCAAGGCACCATGGGAAGAGGAGCAAAACAGGAGTGAATGCCTGCCTCCTGGGGCCGGGCCACTATCGGCGAGCACATCACCCCCCAAACGCAGCAGCTTCAAACAACATGCGAGGAGGCATTTATTCATTTATTCATTATCATGGCTGATGGCCCCACAGCGTCTGTGGGTCAGGTGTCTAGATATGTGTTTGATCACATCTTCTGACTCGGAGTGTCAGTTTGGGTTTCTACTGCTGTGATAAAATACCAGGACCAAAGCAAGTTGGGGAGGAAAGGGTTTATTTGGCTTACACTTCCACATCACTGTTCATCCTTGAAGGAAGTCAGGACAAGAAATCAAACAGGGCAGGAACCTGGAGGCAGGAGCTGATATAGAGACCATGGAGGATGCTGCTTACTGGCTTGCTCCTCATGGCTTGCCCACCCTGCTTTCTTATAGAACCCAGGACCACCAGCCCAGGGTGGCACCACCCTCAATGGCATGAGCCCTCCCCCATCAATCACTAATTTAAAAAATGCCCCACAGGCCTGCCTATAACTGATTTTATTGAGGTATTTTCTCAGTTGAGGTTCCCTCCTCTCCAGGGACTCTAGCTTGTGTCAAGTTGACATAAAACATAAAAACAGTTTGTTTGGGAGGTGTTCATAGGGCTGTAGTCTCACCTGAAGCTTGACCACGGGCAGCTCTGCATCACACGCACGTACACAGTTGTTACTGACAGACACGGTTTCTTGTGGTCTTCGGTGACCACAGCTCTCCCTCAGTCCCTGGCCCAGCCAGCCCCTCGGTGGGCAGCTCACAGCGTGTGGCAGCTTCATCAGAGAGCAAACGAGTAAGAGAGATGAACAAGAGGGAAGCTAGAGAGGCCTTCTGTAACCTTATCTCAGAGGGACCTCCCTGCCTGTTAGCTGTAGTCTGTTAGAAGCAAGTTATTAGCTCCAGCCCACGCTCAAAGAGAAAGGATTACAAATAAATGCCAGGCACAAAGATGGTTGGGAACCTTCGAAAAGCTGCCTGCCATGGGTGCATGGCTATCTTCATTCTCTGCTCCTGTGTGAGGAAGGGAGGAGACTGAGGCTCAGAGAGGAACTGTGATTTGTCTTTGGTCTCACAGAGAGGCACAATGCTAGTCAAAGCCCGCCCTGCCTTAAGTGACACTTCACTACTACCTCCAGGGCCGCATAGCGGAGTCGAGAGAGCCACCAGCCTCTAGCCCATGGCCAGGATCATTCTTCTCTCTTTTAACCACACCTCAGTGCCCGAAGTCACAGAGTAGGCTAGAGGCTGGCCTGGGCCTTTCAGAGTCCTTAGGTCCCAGATAAGGTGCGATGGCTCAGAAATCATGCTGATGTGTTTGCATGTCTAAAAAGATACTCTGTCTACAGCCTCCCTGCACACATTTTAGGGAAAAACTTATTTCTTGTAGTGTGTGTGTGAACAGGGAAGGAAGGAATGTTCAAATGTGTGGCAAAATGTTAGTACTGGGGAAATACGGGTAAAGAGTATATCATAATTGTCTACCCAAAAGTTTTTTGCAACCATTTTATAAGTCTAAAATTATTTCAAAATACAAGTTTTCAAAAGTGCCACCCTGGAATCTGTCACAGATGACTTCATAGGAATCTTGCAGATCTTCTTCAAACCAAGAGAACCTGGGGAGGAAGTCAGGAAGAGCAAATATAGACTGAGTTTGGGCTGCCTAGGTACCAGGCCTGGCCCAGCAGTTCCTAAGGTCTCCGAGCCACACATTTGAGACTGACAGAAGGGTTTGGAGAAAAGGTTTTTGTCACACTGGTTTGTAACACTAGACACAGTCCCTGGACTGTGGTGAGCTCTTCATAAATTGTGGGAGCCCGTTTTCGGGGTCCTCGTGGCTTTACCCAGCATGTCCGAATAGAGGATGATTAGGACCACGGGCCTGAGTGCAGGTGTCTGAGATGGTCTGCACTTGGCTGTGCTGTCGGGAGGTCTTTTGCTCCACTCCTTGGTGTCTCTATAAAAACCCTGGGGCAGAGACAGTGGGGCCGTTGGAAAAGGTTCCAGGCCCTCTCGAGGCTATCCTTTATTTTCTATCTGTTTATGTCCGCAAGCTTCTCCACAGTAAATCCTTCTATCTAATATTTCCTGCTGCTCACACTCAAGAAAACTCTGGGGAACTGTGGGGTTGGTGGGTAAACGCCCCACAATAAATGTTACTGTTGCTGCCTCCTTGTATATCTTGCAGTGATTGGTCATGGCTGTGTGTGGTTTAGCTGCGGATCTAGACAGTTGTCTCCATGCTGACTTCCTGACTTGATTTTTTGTCCCTATAAAGGCAGGGTGGCCACTGCAGTGGGTGTGGATGTGTGTGACAGCATGAAGAGCCGAATCCCTGTGGTGCTGCTGGCCTGTGGGTCCTTCAACCCCATCACGAACATGCACCTGCGCTTGTTTGAGGTGGCCCGAGACCACCTCCACCAAACGGGTGAGTCAGAGAAGCGAGTGCAGCAGAACTGACAGGTGGGGGCTGTTTGATGGTGTCATCGTCATCGCGAGTAAGACTGCTTCGTCGGTTCATTCTCCACTTAAGTTGGAGGCTACATCTCCTCCAACCTGAGCAGAGGACTCACATCCCTTAGCTGTGTGGCGTGTGCAAGTCCATCCCTGGCCGCAGAGTTGATATGTCTCAGAGTCCCTCCTCCTCACCCACCTAACTTTGTCCATGAATACTGTGAAGACATGGGGAAGGGACAGTTAGGGAAACGGTGCCCCACCCAGGGCCTCCTGGATGCTCCCCACATTTACCTATACATCCAAGAACAGGTAAATGTGCTTTTGGAAGGTCCTGCTACCTACAGCAAGTAAACTAATGTTCAATAATGGGAATTGACATTTCTCTTTCTGAAGAATAGGTCTTTCCCTATAACAAACTGCTTTCTGTATTCATAAATTTATTTTATGTCTGCTTTATGTTTTCATAAATGTGTTTTCTATTATTGTGTTGTCCAAAATTTTGCCTTTAAAGGCATTTTTACACCAGAATCAATTCCTATTTATTTTTAATATAGAAAAAAGGTATTTGAATAACATGTCAGTCATTTCTTCACAGAAATCATACACAAATGTTGGCTTATTTTTTTGTAGAAAATGACTTTGTTTACAAAACATACTTTTATTGCTGAACAAATGATCGTGTATGTCTACTCATACAAATAAATGGTTTTTACAACGGAATTTTTTGAAATACAAACAATGCCGTTAAAATTGCATTGTAGGCATTAGTAGGCAGTATACCAAAGAACTGTAAATGGCCAATAAACTTGAGGCTAGATACTCCGGATCACTAGGAAACAATGAAAATTCGAATAAAAACATGAGGAACATGGTCAGGTTATAGGTATCACAAGGGCAGTAACCATGGCTGCAGCAGGCCACCAAATGACCACCACCTGTCACTGGGCTGGTGGCTGCTTCCCAGTAAACATCAGTTGTAGACGTCAGTAGTCTCGGCCTATGAGATTGGCAAAGGTTAAAGGTTAAAGACTGGCGGAGTCCAGCACTAGCAGCCAAGGGAGGAAGTGGACCCTTGTGTCTGGTAGTGATCCAATCAACCATGAAACAACTTTGAAGGGCTGTTTGGAATTCTGTGACCAAAAGGTGTAGAACCAACATCCATAATCATAAAAAGTAGATAAATCAGTCATTGAAACCAAACCAGAAGCAGCAAAGGCTGAAGCAGATGTTAGAATTAACAGAGATGATGATAATCGATAGTTATGTGCCATATGTTCAGTGTTTAAATAAAAGCATAGGAAGCGTTAAAAAGGGCCCAAATCAAACTCCTAGAGATGAGGAAAATGGGTGAGGTGAGAAGACACCTGTTAGTGTTAGTAACACATCAAACACTGCAGAAAGGACAAAGGAGCGGGGAGAGAAGCAGGGGGACTAGCCAAAAGAAAAGGCAGAGAGGAAAAAATCATTTTAAAGCAGGAGTAACCATGATCCGCGTGACAACTTCAAGCTTACACCTGTCACTGGACTCTCAAAAGGAAAATTCAAGAAGAGAGGAGGAAAAATGTTTGCAGAAGTTGCGGCTGAAATGTGTCCAGATTTGATGGAAACAGCCCACAGGTCCAAGGAGCCCAGCAAAGCCGAGCTTAACGGGCAGGAAGGAAACAGCCCAAGGGACGTGACCATGAGATTTCCCAAAACCAGAAGGAAGACAGAAATCTTAAAAGCAGCCACAAAAAGAACAGAAATAAGGGTGACAGCAGCTGCCTTGTTCCTGAATTCACTGGAAGAATTCAGTACAATGACTTCCTTAAAGAACAAAAAGAAAGGCCCTCTGGTCCAGAGCTCTGTAGCCAACTCTATACCCAGCAGAAATACCTTGGGAAAATAAAACCAAAGCGAGGGTGTTTGCACAAACCCAGAGGCTGGGAGGCCTCGCTACCAGCAAACCTGTACTTCAAAAGCCATGCTCCTAATTCCCCTGGGCAGGGGACTGACAGCTAGAACAGGGGCTCCCCTGAGGGACTGCAGAGAGTTAGAAACAGTGACCACATGAGCATCATGCAGTAAGATGGGGTGAGATAAAAGCTTTTTAACATTTAAATGTCTTTAAAGGGAGGTTGGCAGTTTAAGTGAAAATTCAATATTGTGGGATTCTAGCCGGGAGAAGTTTAGGACAGCATTAATGCACTGGTGGAGAGGGGCAAAATCCACGTATTCAGCCTGTGAAATACTTCAGTGGTACTCAAAGATAGATTCTGATACCTTAAAGATAAGCATTTAAACCCCCAAATGTTTGTGTGTGTGTACATGTTCTTGTGTGCACATGTGTGCATCTGTGGAGATAAGACAACCTCAGATGGTGTTCCTTAGGTCCTCCCCCCATGTTTTTGAGACAGGCTCAGTCACCAGCCTGGAGCTTGGTAAGCAACCTGGCTACCTTAAATGGTTAATAAGCCCCAGGTGTTGTTGGTTGTCTTTACTCTTTGCTCTTATTCTTTTGTGGGGCCCACCACCCAGCTCCCAAGTAAATCACACATGCAGGCTTATTCTTACTTATGAATGCCCGGCCTTAGCTTGGCTTATTTCTAGCCAGCTTAACTTAAATTATCCCGTCTACCTTTTGCCTCTGGGCTTTTAACTTTTCTTACTTCTATATATCTTAGTTTCACTCTTTTTTATTTATTTATTTATTTTTTTTTTGGTTTTTCGAGACAGTGTTTCTCTGTGTAGCTTTGCGCCTTTCCTGGAACTCGCTTTATAGACCAGGCTGACCTCGAACTCACAGAGATCTGCCTGTCTCTGCCTCCCGAGTGCTGGGATTAAAGGCGTGTGCCACCACCACCCGGCTTAGTTTCACTCTTACTCCATGGCTGGCTGGGTGGCTGGCCCCTAGCATCCTCCTCTCCTTCTTCTCTTGCTCCTTCTTCTCCTCCCAGATTTTTCCTCCCATTTATTCTCTGCCTGGCAGCCCCATCTATTCTTTCCTGCCAGGCTATTGGCAGTTCATCTCTTTATTAGACCAATCAGGTAGGTGTTTTAGACAGGCAAAGTAACACAGCTTCACAGAGTTAAACAAATACAACATAAAAGAATATAACACATCTTTGCATCATTAAAACAAATGTGCCACAGCATAAACAAATGTAACACATCTTAAAATAATATTCTACAACACCCAGGGTTTCACCTGTCTTTGCCACCCCAACACTAGATTATGAGTCCACATAAAACCATGCCCAGTCTTTTGTTTGTTGTTTGTTTTGTTTTGCATGGGGTCTGAGGATTAAACTCAGGTCCCCGTGCTTGAAGAGAAGCACTTTGTAGATTGAGCCATTATCCCGGCCCTGAGCCCCAAAAGATCAGAACAGACAACCATGGTTGGTAAGTACAAAGGAAGTAGTATACAGCCAAATATGCTCAGGTAATTCAAAAGATTAAAGAGGGCCCAGAAGCAGGTGGGACAGGCAGAAAACAAGATGAGACCTCAGAACCTGACGATATCAATAATCAGTTTAAATACAGACTAGTGGCATCTCATACTTTTCAGATTACCACCCAGTAAAATAAGCTGGTCTCTGCGGTCTACAGTCACCCTGCCCCCTCCTCTTTAGGGAGATGTGTTCCAAGACCACCAGTGGATGCCTAAAGCTGAAGATCACATCAAACTTGATATACTGGGTTTCTTCCTACACAGGCTTATCTATAGTAAAGTTGGATTTATATATTAAGCAAAGGAAGATATTAACAGCAGTAGCTAATAAAATGGAATGATTATATAACAGTGCACTGTAATAAAAGTTATTTAAGACATGTGAGCTATTTCTGGAAATTTCCATTTAATATTTTCAGAGAATAGTTGACCATGGGTAACTGAAATAGTGGAAAGAAAAATTGCAAATAGGAAAGGGTTATGTATAAAAACCACACTTCACATATAAAAATATAGATATGTTAAGGGAAAAGGAATTGAAAATTATCCCACATGAACACTAATTAAAGAAAAGCTGGAGTTGCTGTAATATCAGAGGACAGAAATTTCAGAGAAAGGAATATTACCAAGGATAAGATAGTTTTTCCCTAATTACAAACTTAATCCCAGTTCCAAAATACAGAGACCCACAGCCAGACAATATGCAGAGAGTAAGAGACCTTTGTAACACCCAGCCCTAAATGGTTGTCTCCATCAAATCCCTCTCCTCAGGGCCCAGGGAACCCTGTAGAAGAGGAGGTGGGAAAGAGGTTAAGAGCCAGAAGGGATGGGGGACACCAAGGAAACGAGGCCCTTTAAATCTCCAAGATCAATGTGAGCACAGAGGAACTCACAGAGACTGAGGCTGCATACACAGGGCCTCCACGGATGTGCACCAGATAGGGTCCTGGAGCTGAAAGAAATGGACACATGTCCCCATCCCTAACCCAGAAGCCATCTCTAATTGAGAACCACTTGCAAATGAAAATTTAGTTTTCTCCAAGGGAGTCTCACTAGGAAAACAAACTACTGCCATGGCCCAGCAATAGACAGCCAGCAGAAAATGAACTCAGCAGCATCTTAGAAAGTTCATTGTCTCATAATGTCATGTCAGGGCTTTTTAATTCTCATTTTTAAAATTTTATCTTATGTGTATGTGGTAGTTTGAATGAAAATGGACCCATGGGCTCATAGGGACTGGCACTATTGGGAGATGTGGCCTTGTTGGAGTAGGTGTGGCCTTGTTGGAGGAAGTGTGTCACTGAGCACAGGCTTTGAGGTCTCAGAAGCTCAAGCCAGGTCTAGTGTGTCCCATTCTCTTCCTGCTGCCTGCTGATCCAGATGTAGAACTCTCAATTCCTTCTCCTTCTCTGTCTGCACCCCGCAATGCTTCCCACTATGAGGATAACGGACTAAACCTCTGAAACTGTAAGCCAGCCCCAATTAAATGTTTTCCTTTATAAGAGTTACTGGAATCATGGTGTCTCTTCACAGCAATAAAA